CGCTGTGGTCTCTCTCGTGTGACAACAAATTCGCAATTCGATAAAACGAGGTTCGTTGACTTGTCAGAATTTTGAATTGCAGTTCGCAGTTCGCGTATCGAGCTGTAATAAGTAATATGTATTGCTATCACACGCATCGGGGGACCACCTGGCACAAGTTTAATTTCTCATTCGCACCGGAGACGTATGCGACGATGGACGCGTATTCACGCGTGTTCGCACACCGCGCGTATAATATCGGCAAATTGAATACGCGGAATGTGTATCTAACATTAATGAACTAATTATGACGGAGATATTATCCAGACGGTGTCTGAGAGAGTGCCGGTGCGCCTTTAGCGAGAACGCTGACGCGGATATCGAGCCGAGCTCGCAAGACTGAAAGATATATCGTATTTATTTTTTCACTCGGTCGTTTCGCTAATTGCTTTCCGCGCCGCGCGCTCGCGTGCATGAGAAGAGGCAATAAATATTTGTAATTAATTAGGAATACGCGCGGGCGTTTATAGAAGAAAAAGAGAGAGAGAGAGAGAGAGAAAGAGAGAGAGAAACGCACTGATAAATTGAGATTATATATAATATCCAACATTATATTGAGAGATTAGTAAAACCTTATATGTACAATTTTCAGATTGACCGCGATGATAGCATATTAAAAAAGCAATAAGCGAAAATAAAGAAACGCTATCGCGTCCGTCTTATCCGATTACTTGGAATTGCGAAATTGAATAAACAAGATTTAACCTTACATTAAGAAAATTCTCCTATACGTACGTTCATCTCAAGCGAGTACACATACGTGAGACATTTTTTTATCCGCGTTATCGGATAGCGACTCGCTATCGGGATTATCCAATAAAATTAGATTAACTATGCCACGTTCTAATATGCTTGCCTTACTTTATGCACGTAGAGGTAAAACCTGCGTCAGAGGTTTTAAATCAATCGAACAAAATTACTCTTTCTGACCAAAAAAGAAAATAATCATTTCGACAAAACATATCACAAGAAAAATTAAAAATGTCCGCGTATACCTCGGGAATGCGCAAGTCGAAGTTCGAACGAAGGGAGAGCAATGTGTTTTCCTAGAAAAATTAGTTTCTCGGGCGTGTGCTACGCGGATACGATGGAAAAAGACCGGGAGGAGAGATCCGGACGCGCGGAATTTCCCTGATGGCATCGATAAATTAGCTTCGCGAACGCTTCGCAAAGCGCGCGCGCGCGCGCGGCCTCTCTTTAAACGAGACACAATGAGAGCCGAGAAAACTATTCCGCGCCATGACAAGATACGTCATTACATGTATACGTGTGTGTTACTTATAAAGCTTCGCGATCACACGCGCCGCATACGAATGAGGCTTGAATCGCGGACGCGCTGTTACAAAATCTATGGAAAAAGCGACCTACCCGGCATCTCGCGTATGCAAGGATACGACGAGCGCGCGAGTCCGGCTTGGCACATATAGCTCTTTAATCGGAGCATTAACATGCACGTTGAATATTGATCGTTCGATACGTGGAAAATCGTCGATTTCTTTCGCGCTCGGAATCCGCCATCGCGCGCGCGTTTTCATCATCGCGGATGTTTCTCGAAGAAGAAGAAGACGGATCTGTATATTAACGATTCGCGATTATCGCGTAGACGATTTGTTTCACACTTTCCGTAGTAAATCACAAGCGTTTAGCCGTTACAAAAAAGAGTTTCACTTATACATATAAACGTGTCACTATGTCTGACTCAGCAAACTGACTATCTTCTCTGTGTGATATATCGCTCGGGAACAAGTTCGGTCAAAAAATTTCGACTTCTCATTCAATTCGAAATGGAAGATCGGATCTCTCGCGGTGTCAGTTTTCCAAAGCAAAATAATAGGATTGTTTAAAACACTCGCGGCAGCGAGACGAAGCTGCAAAGAAAATCATTTTTCCGCGTGTTTCTCTCGAACACCGACTAGCTGAGAAATTCTATCGAAGCGGTGCGACGCGTCGTCGTGTTATCGTCCGATCAAAAAACATCTCATAAATAATCTCGACGTCAAAATTCGCTTGACGAATTTATCGATTCGGCGATGTGTGATTTCCTCTTTTCCCTCCTTCTCCATTCTCGTGAGCCACGCTCTCGCTGTCCGACGATTGGTGACGAGTGTGTAGCATACGTCGTCGCATTCCGTCCGACAGGTTACGGACGCTCTTCGAAACACGATGACGTTCCTCTTTGTGCAGAGAAAACCAAGCCGATCCGTAATGCCCATAAGTCTACGGCCTCTGGCAGACGCGTCTGGTCGGGGTTGAAGCTCCGCCAAGAGAGAGAAGGAAGAGTCGCACGCGGCGAGTTATGGATCCCGGCGAGATCGGAGACGAGTTAAACGGGCCATCATACCGTTGTTTCTCTACCGCCAAACACGTATAACATTCGGACCTATCTACTGAAATCCTTCGACCACCCGTTCTTGTCGACTCGAGGACACCGGTTTCAAGAAACAAAACAATACGGAAAAATATGAGCCCTCGTGTACTAGCGAACAATAGCCACTTGCTCGATATACAGGGTGCTCGGAAAACCATCGTTTTTGTGAAACAAATCCGTGTTGTGAATCGGGACGCCGATCAATTTTTTCATACGAGAACGTTTAACGCACGAGGAAATTTTGAAAACTCGAAATTGTCAAAAGTGCGAAAAACGATAACGAAGATGTAATTGACCTTTAATTTTCGAGAAACGTGTTCGTACTCGAGCAATCGCTCGACGTCGACGATTACTGAATACACGAACGAGTGCGACGACCGAAGGGCGAAATGTTGAGAGAAATGTTGAGTTTCGAGACACCCTGTATGAAGTATATGTAAGGCTGAACTCAGGGGATATCAAATCCTGCTGGAAGTTCACCAACACAGAAAGCCCTCTGGCACAGACGCATTTCTGGATCGGTAAACTTTTCAACGGCACCCCGACAAACTTTGGGATGTATACAACGTAAATTGCTTCTGGAGCGTAATAATATCGTTTGTGAAAGAATGAAGATCGATGAAAAGCGTTTAAATTGAGATAAAACTCATTCTGCTTTTTTCTTTTTTTTTTTTTTTTTTTTGATCGAATTGCTCCGTATGACGTAACCGCAATTATGACAGCGATATTGTTGTTGCGGAGGTGAGTTACCACTTCGTGTAAGACCGATACAGCTTTCTATATTAATGGTAAGGACAATTGAAGTGTCCGATGCTGCTCTTTGATCAATTATAACGACGTACATATAACAACAATTTCGCATTTGCTATAACAAGCAATATCGAGAATTTCTTGCACAAAGAGACATTGAATTGCAAACAAGACTTTGCAAAAATGTTCAGTCAAAAAAAAAAAAAAAAATTGTTGTTCGATGCTCTTGAGAGATTTCATTGAGATAATTTTATTACTTTATTATCCAACGCGCAAATGCAATCGATAATTGTTACAAGCACAAGATTCTTGATAAGTGTATTCAATAAAAATTTACATTTTTGCAATTTATTACCGTTGAACAAAGCTATCACGATGGATAAGATAAATGTGAAAAAAAAAATATTGTATCTACATTACTTGTATCTACTTGTCGAGTTATTATCATGATAAGTTAGTGCAAGAGAAAGAGCGTTATCAAATTGGTTTTTAATGTGTACAATAATATTTATAAATTTGTATAAAAATTTGCTAAAAGAAGGAGTTTATGAAAAAAAAAAAAAACAATTTATTTTGTACAAACACAAGATAAGTAACATGTAAAAAATACACTTTTCGAACTTTAAATTTTCTCATTTTGAAGATTGCTTCGTGCATTTGTATCGCGAATCAGCGATCGCCGACGCACAAATTGCCCCATAAAACAGAGATATCAAGATTTCTAAAAATAAAACTTGCAAACACGCACTTTCCCGCGCCGATTATTTTTCGCGCGTGAGCAATGTTTATTCATCGCCGCGATAATGTGCATTTCGCATACTCGCATTATTTTCTCTCTCTCTCTCTTTTCTTGCTTTTTTCTCTGGGCTTTCTATTACTTTCTATCGCGCTAAAAATCTTTTGAGCGCGCGTCCCAAGCAGATATACCGGCGTTAAATAATTTCCGCGCGGGAACGGAAAGTACTTTAAGCCCAGCGCTATCTGCGAGTTGCGCCAAACAAAAGGACGAGAGGAATCGTTCGACAAGAAACCGATGAAGGGTTTATCTTAATCCACGGTTCACCGAGCAGAGACGAGCTCCTCCGCTAACGCTCCCGGACCACTCCTTTCATCGTTTATGCCCGCCACCTTCGCGCATGTAACCGATCACACTCTTTCTTTCTATCTCTCTCTTTCCTCGCCTGTTTTACCAGGAAACAGTTTTTGTTTTACTATAACCACTTGAAATTGTGTGGTTTGTAACAAGACGAAATAGCGAATATATGTACAACTGATTGTCTCGCAAAAACCGAGTTTCTAATTTCTACCTTTTCTTTTGAATCGATTAGTTTCTTCTTCCAATTGTTTTCGAGTAATTGTTACGTTTTTGCTTTAATTTTTTGCGATCTTGAATACATAATTTTCTTACCGCAACTTTGCAAAAGATGTCAATCGTGACATTTCGCGATTAAACCGGGTACGTTGCACCCGGTCGGAAAAAAAAGGGCACCAGTCTTGATCGTTCTACATCAGACCACTTCCGGAAATCACCGGATTCTGCATTCCGAAGAAAAACACTTAACGAAGTTATTGGCCGCGAGGATAGAAAAACGCGAAACGCCGGTGTGAGTTGCACAGCGGAGGAACGAGCGTTTAGAAGTAGAACGAACCGATCGATCAGTCGATAATCTCGCGCGATCGGTCGACGTTTTCCCAGAAGGTTCCTGTTTCGCGGGTGGTACAGACGAGTTGCGGCAAAAGTGCGAGAGAGGAAAAGTTTGACGAATCGATTCGAAAGGATGTCACCGAATCGAAAGTGCGGGGGGGAGAAAGGAAGGGAGGAGGGGAGGAAGCTCGTCCTGGGGATGAGCGCGAACACCTGTAACGCCATGTTCACGGGCGTCACGTGCCCCGGGTGTTGCCGTGACGAAAGTCCCGATGATCGTGCAAAAACCGTGGGCCGGCATAAAAAGTCGATCGGGCTCGCGCTGTTCGGAAATCGAGGGAAGGCGAGTTCCTCGTCGCTGAGCACGTTATGAGAAACGTTAAAGCGAAAATTTGTCGTTAGTTCGTGAGATCCGTTCGCGCGGTCGGATGACGAGCAATTCGACATAGTTCTTGCCGCGTTATAATCCTTAGTCAATCATTTAATCGCTTTTTTCTATCCCCGATCCGCGCGAAAACTTAAAACGTAAGATCGATTACGAGCGATCGCTATTTCGTTCACGTAAAACAATACGCCAAGGCTAGAATTACCTAGCTATATTTAGTTCGTCGCTCCTGCGAAGGAGGCATGATCGGCGATAACTCCCTCTTTCCGTCGACCGGTGTGTAAGTGAATCGAAAAATGTCCCATCAGCTTGTTACGTACGACCGGAGAACCACCACGGTGTACACGTTAAGTACATCCGCGGGATCGGACGCGCGTGCTCGGTTCTCTTGATCAGATACATAGTCAGCATGACTCCGCGATCCGCACCCTCGACCACCGACGGTGTCCCGCTGACTATTTATCTTGTTACATCCAAGTGATCCGATTCTAACAGGAGATCAATGACGGCCGCCGACCACCGCGGCTTCCCGGCTTCTTGTTGCGTGCGACTCCTCGCGGAAACGGATAGATGACACAAAGGGACCTCTCCGCCCGTATGAATTGAAAATGGGGAAACCGCGATTGCTTCCTTTTTTCTCACTCTTCTCTCTGAAACATTAATAAATACATTTTCAACACACTAAACACGCGAACTTAAATATATATTTAAATAAAACAAACAAAAAGAATCGTTCAATTGTAATGATGAAATCAATTAAATTGTATATCGAGACACACGCGCGCACACGTCAACAATTGCTTCGATGCGTAGATAAATGTGAATCGCATGTTCAATGTTGATTGACGAAACATTCATTGTGCGCAATTCTGACAGAAAAGCGACCAATTTAACGCGACCACCAATCGCGTAATGCCGAGAGCAATGAATCAATAATGCAGAAGCAAAACCTTTTAGAATAGCCGTATAACGTGCATACGGACACTTAAGCCCGGCTGACGGAAACACATCCGGAGCCATGTGTTACTTAATAATTGCGCGCTACGTGGTCGTCCCCGACCAAATATTTATTGCTACTTACCGGTCAGCGAATGTAAACAGGGTCGGGCCCGCTAATGGAGAACACCTAATTCCGCCTACGCGATGGTCGCCGTTGTTGTGTTTGAGGAAATTAATTCTGACTTCGGTTTTCTGATAACATCAACGTCATTCTCGTGTCGCCGGAGATATTGTTCTGAGTCATCGTATTTCTGAAATATACACGTGAGATCTGTAGTGCACGCGTACGCGGTAATAAATCGGTTCCGCGAGAGGTTTTGGTCATTTTTAATAAGATCGTTTATTTTTATTACACGGGATATTGTTCTGTTATTGTCAGATATTCGATTTATCTTCAGACAAAAAGTGTGTGATACGTCGTCATATCAACTAGTCTCGTAAGTCAATCTCCTTTAGACGCTAATCAACCGACAATTTTGGTAAAAGTATACGAGTAAGGATAATATGGATAAATGGCGTCGAAACTGTTGGGCGGAAAGCGACAAGAACCGGAACGCGTGTCAGCTCGTCATCGTCGCCGAAACGTCAGTAGGTGTTTGGTCAGGTCGCTAATGTAATATTGTTTGCGGGAGTATCGGATGTAGACAGCAAGTAACTCCGGGAGAATCGTTAAGAAAGTCTCCAAAAAAAAAAAAAAAAAAAGACTAACACGCATCGGTCGCAGCGAAATATTCCATCGCTCTTAAACGTAAAAAAATTATTGGCGACAATTTTTGTTACGGAGTGTATCTTCTAGACAACACAGCTCTCTTCTCTTATACTTCGCTAATTACATTTGCAATTGTTTTTATTTTATCGGTTTTGTGTTGTAAGCATGGAAACTTGGACATACAAACAACTTAAGCTGGTTATACAACACGATAATGTTTTCAACAATTATCTCACGTGTGTTTTATGTGAGTCGAAACTATCGAGCGCGGCGCGGCAATGTTCAGCAAGATGTAACTGTTTTGACTGCACCTGTGTCTTCGTCGTCCAATTAATACGTATACGATGTGTTTCGATTAATCGTAGACCAAGTTACACCGGCACTAATTAACTTATCGCGTTCGCGCTCGACCAGAACGCGATCGCGCCGCGACGTGGGGTCTGTATGCTCGCTGAAAGCGAATCGGGCGTATATGTGGAAATCATAAATATAGGTAATCGACCACGTGGAAACGTACACCAAGGCATAAATTGCTCGCGCATTAACGAGATCCCGTGCAGCGTTCCCTCGAGCGTTTCTCCGATTTCCAGAGGAAAGTAGCCAACACGACCGACTCGTTATCGAACATGTTCTTAACCGACGTGTCGAATCTGTACCTGCGATAATCGCAGATTTAATTATGACAACTTTGTTTGGATGCAACCGCGATATTTTTTATATCAAGTTGAGATGTTTTTTTCGACGAACGACGCACGCTACTCACGCTAACACTTACTTTCGTACGGATCGGTTTCTGTATTTTGAATATAATTTTTGCCGATCGTTTTTCGGATTCGTGAGGGATCAACAGCGTTGATCAACATCGGGCAACGGAGGATTCTCGTCACGGCAATCGCCGGACCGTTTCTTCTGTTCGCCGGTTAATGGCTCGTCCGTTTCTTTCCTATGCCGATCCGTCATTGACTTCCGGGCGTGTCCGCGGCCAAGCGTTTCGCGACGCCGTAACTCGTGCCAATCGGCGGCGGATTTGCGTGACCGTGACGCAAAAGCGCGGTGCCTCCCACTTCGTGCCGATTTTTGCAGAGCTCTCGCCGGCATTTTAATGTCTTCTCGCGGCGCACGGTGATTCAGTCGTCGTTTTCATTCTCTGTTATTGCCCCGTCGATTGGTTCATCTCTCTCTCTCGTCATCTCCTTTCTTTCTCGTCGTCGCTCTTACAGCTGCCATGGTGCTGTAAAAAAAAAAAAAAAAACGAAATGTCGCGCTAGAATCGTAACAAGAGTGCGCGCCGCGCACGCAATTAAGTTTTATCTATGTAAGTTTTATGAAATAGAAACAAATCCACGTGAACGGATTATCGATATGTGTTGTCGATTTTATGGGCATCAGTATCACTAAAAATATTATGCTTAAAAAATTATTTAAAAACATAATTTTATTGAATTGATATTATCTGTAACCGTATCTAAAAAATCAAACGTTTTTTTGCCACTTCAAAAATTGCTAATTATGGTGTAATAGAGAATTCGATAAGAAGAGTAACATCGTAAGCTGTTTAGCGAATCGAAAACTATTATTAACCATTGTACAAGAACGATTATCGGTGATTTAAATAAGAAAAGCGATCGAGCGTGAAAACCGTGATCGCGTCTGCCTCACGCGCCGAGTCGCTGACCGTTAAAAATTAAATTATTACGTATTTTATAATCGCGCGTCTAGACAATCGATTGGTCACGATCGCATAGATCAGTGACCGCCCACATGATTGAGCGGATTATGAAATGAGGCAAAAGTCGCTTTATTTCTGGACTGTATATCTTTCTCTCTCTCTCTCTCTCTCTTACTCACTCTTCGTCAATTAGCGTTGTATAATAAACATCTCAAAAATTAGTGAAATGAATATTTAGCATATAAATTTGCATTGCTAACTTATTTAATTGTTTCTTTATATTTACGATCAAACATGGTTTAATAAGATCAGGTATTTTATTTTCTATTAATTTTTCTGACAATTATTTAGAAAACTGTGTGAATTAATCACGCGTCTTTCGTTCGGTTTACACATGATAAATGATCTGTGTCCGATCGTTATCTCAAATAGATTAATATTAGACCAACTGCTGATTATTCAATTACGAGAAAATATTCGTTCGTTACGCTCAATTGAATATCATGTATGCAGGTATGCGTGCAAAGTATGCGTTAAGTAACACACACACACACACACACAGCTTAGTACTAATGTAGTTTTACGAGCACGCTACACGCATGTATCAATTTACAGTGTGAATAGAGAAATGGGAATTTCATTGACGTCGCGCAACGAACAAAAGTGGATCTTAATCAAGTAAATTTGAAAAAATAGATTCCATTTAAAACCGCACGTGTGTACTTTACTTTCGCTATAAAAAAAAAAAAAAAAAATAAAACGAATGGGATTTGTAATTGACTTTAATGTTCGTTACGATTATTTCGAAGCGACAGAGTCAAACTTGTCTCCCCGCATGACTCCGATGTCATAAATAACAATTCCGCAGACTTCTGGTTCGAATCCTCCCCTTGTTCCCCTTCCGTAAGAAAACCGCGCGGAGATCCTGGAGGAAAGATGATTGGCGATTGGGAGGGAGAAACGAGTTTATCCTGGCGAAACCCCTTCCCCGCCGCTGTCGAACGCGCGATGGGAATAAAATGTGAAACTGTAAATTGTGCGTGGGAAGAATCGGTCCCTGGGCGGTCGTGGAGGTCGACTATGGTTTTCGGTTGAGGTGGTCGGGGGTGAAATAGCGTACGGAGGCGGCGGTGGACGGATGGCAGAAGCCGGGAAGCAGCAGCGCGCGCTCCGGATCCGGATTCTCGTTCGCACGGGAGCGAGGACCTTCAAGGATTTAAATGCGCATTCGAGCGAACGAGAGCGAGGGTGTATCTCTTGTAGCTTGCGGGGTAGGAGGTTGGAAATTTGTTAGGTTACGTCGGACTATCACTCCCCAGTGAATATGAAAAAAGAATTCCTCGCAAAGCTTGTGCGAGGGTCGTTCGGTCGGTCGGGAATGAAGGCGGCGTGTTCCTCCCGACACCACCCCTTGCTTCCGCGAACGAGGGAGCGGCTAGTGTGTGCGTGTGGGGAAGGTATGGTTAAGGTGATGGTTGTTCGGAGTAGAGCTGGTGACCGGAGGGTTAGGAGGGATGTAACACGGTGCCAAGAATATAAAGCGGGGAATAAAGGAGATGGCGGTCACATATGCGACTCGTAAAAGCTCTTCTGAAAAGCTGCATCCGTCCTGCCACTCGCGTTCTGCCTCCCTTCTTTTTTCTGTTTTTTTTTTTTCCCCCATTGGTGATTCTATCGTAGGAGGTATCCAAGGTTCTCCATTCCACAACGTGGCTCTCAATGTTGCCATTGACACTTTGGCTTCTCGAGTGCATGATTTAGCGTGCAATTAATGTGAGAAATATTAGCTCACGTGCTGCGTAAATTTTTTCACAAGATTGTTTTCCTCTTGTCACACAGCTTCTTCTCTGTTTTATGGAGTTGCTGATAACGTGCGACATTTGTGTGTACTGGAGATAAACAAGTGTTAACTAGAACAATTCTCTTCGTCACGTGACAACACAGAGAATTAATTTAGGAGTAGAATATTGGTGTCGTTGTAATTTTTTTTTTTTAAGTTTTTGAATCAGAAAACTGCAAAACTTGATCGCGAAATGGCGTTCTATATAGCTAGTGAGTTAGTCGCGGCGTTATTGCGTTCCTATAGAAACGCGACTTATCCCAATTATCTCTCGATATTGGCGAATAGAAATGCCGTTCTCGAGCAGCATTTCCGTACATTTGCGGACGGAAAATGAGCCATTCGTTTGCCGAGTGGAACGAGGCACTGTCTATGCATGGCACGAACGCGCCACTATCCGACTTGTCCCATAAATAATCGTCCTTCTCTCTTAACCTCTATTTTTCTCCTCCTTTGTCCGTCTCTCAACCCTCATTTTATGCTTTCATCGTCTACCTTTTCTCTCTCTCTTCTGATGCAAATGTAACATGCGTATATATCAAACAACACAACGTGCGAATTGCAAAAAAATTTTGTACTCTCATTTTGTCAAACTTTTTATTTCGTATAAAATAGATAAAAATATACATATATTTCTTCAACATAATAATTCAAAAATGTAAGCTTATCTTCTTTTCTTTTGATTGAACAAAACAGTAAAAAAACAATTTTGACCTGGTAACATTGTTACATTGCAACAAGTTATTTTATATGAAAATATTTTTAAAAATAAAAGATGTACACAGGTTTTGCAATATTTGAGCGAACATCGCTCTTTTTTCTGTTTGCTGTTCTTTTCTTTCCCATACATGGGGAGAGTAAATTACAAAAACCGTATTGTTTTGAATGCGACTGCTTTTTGCGTTGGCACTAACCAACATTTCTCTAGACAGTTCTTGGGTTGTCGATCGTTTAATCGTCCATTTCCACCTGTCAGCCGAAGTCGATGGGAGCACAAAGGCGATCTCTATCATGAGGAGAAACTCCAACAAGAAAGCGAGGCAACATTCGGCTATAAGGATTGTTGCGGGAATCGGCAGTAAGGGAGGAAAAGAGACTCGCGTAGAGAGTAAAAAGAAGTCTGACATTCGAGGAGTCGACAAAGATTATCAAGCGCATACTGCGACGAATAAAAATGATTTTTACAGCGGGGGAGAAACGGAAAACAGAGACATTGTTCGTCGCGGGGAGTTTCTGGAAGATGCTCCGTAGGAAGATGACAGGAAGAATAGCCAGCGACAAATGAACTGTTAGCCAGCAATGTACAATTTTTTATAACATTACGTCTTGCAGTTATCAACATTTTTGTGACACATTACAAAGTTTCACTAATATTAATTTTTTTAACATAGAAAAAAGAGAAAGAGAGAGGGAGAGAAATAAAAGTTATGCCAATAATAAACTTATAAAATTCCATAGAATAATAAAAATTATCATGTCTATTTTGAGAAAGACATCGAAATTGTCACTTTTATCATATTTAAGAATTTGTTTCATAGTCGGAAATATCTCAAACGTGTCAAACAATCAGAGTTAATATATACGCCTATCTGACATTCGCCTTATATATCAGAGCGTCATGAAAATCAATTATAATTACATCCTACAGACATATGTATGAGTATGTATATCAGAGTCGAAAAAAAAAAGTCGTGAAAAAATGCAAACGACGTGCGAGATTCACGCAGATTGTGGAAAGAAGATAATAGATTGTGATGCGAGATGCCCGTGAAGTGGAAAGCTTAAAATAATTAATCGCACTTAACGGTGGTGACTCGACGAGATTTAAATCGTGGCAAAACGCATTTCGCTTCCTACGCGCCAACCGTGTCGGATTACGACAAAAATAAATAATATTTTTTTACGGTGCAGGAAGCTGCCCACTCTATACTTAAGTAAGCATCACAGATCACGATTATTAACCAGGAAACTAAATTACCAGCGTGAATATCTTCGCGATCTTTTATACGTGTTTCGTGTGTTGTATACGCGCAATGCTACAATAATAGAAATAATTTTACTGTGCATCGCATAACATTCTTCGGCGAAATAAATTCGATATTCATATTAATTTTGTTTGTTGATAATAATAATAATAATACAGTAAAATTGAAAAACATCAATTTTTGCATGCGTTGCGTTTCGTCGCGCAATATAATAAATGCAATCGGAGACGTAAATAAACATCACAACATACCATTACTTTTCCAGAGCAGATTTGTGTCCCAATGTATATACGTGAACGTAGCGGCAAAACTGTGATTACGAATAATATATATGGGGGACGGAAGATGCGAGGTTTGGGGTTTGAATGACGTCTTGCCCAAGAAGCGGGTAGGGTCGACTTTCTTGCTCGATGGACATCTTTTTCTTGCGCCGATTGTGCGTCGCGCGCTCGCTGCGACACAAATAGCGTATGATTGAGTGAACGCCGCGAGGGATTTTTTGGCGCAGGAATGGCGGAGAGTGAGTTTCGAAGTGAGTGAGTGACGCGGGAAACGCACGAGGGACGGAATAGCGGAACACGCAGACATCAAGCTGTACGAAGAGGGTAAAGCGTCCTCCCCTCTTCGTGCAGCCTCGCGGGAGCAGAGAACAACTCCTCCAAAACGACGCTGCCGAATATAGAGCCGCGCTTTTCTTTTTTTCTCGGACGTATTGCGGCGCCCGGGT